TAATTTACTCGTGCCAGAGGAAATATTTGCAGGTAGAACAGCCTTATATATGTAGCCCATTATTAAGGTAGATCTTCGGTATATATTTCCTCAGATAGAATTTTCGTATACTTTGTCAAAATGACGATTTTACTATGCTTTTTTCAAAAATATAATAAAAAGTATGGGTCACCGTGCTATTTTTCAACCTACAAGTCGTACAAAATTGCCTAAATTTGCAAAGATTGTTCATGAAAAAACACATTTTTGTGAATAAAAAAGATCAATGAAATAGAATTTTGAAATAAAATATGAAAAGATAGTTTTCATAATATGCTTCAAGAAAATAAAACGAAAATATGGTGTCACCGAACCAATTTCCTTGCTACAAGTAAAATAGGAAACTTTCCCTACTATTCCAGTATAATTTTGTTATATAAGATTTGTTCCACCTTACACCTGCAAGTTGAAAAATTAATTCCACAAAACACAAATATTGGTATACATGGTATAAGTTTAAACATTTGGATAGTGCAATAAACCACTTTTTCTCTATACAAATAAACAGTTTTACACATAGATTTCAACCCTGTCTCAAAACTTGCAGATTAATGCAAATAACTAGACCGATTGTGTACTGCTATTGTACAATCCAAGATGGCGGATACACAGTTAATATACTTTAAGTTGCTTATGATACATGTTTGATACTAAGCATTCTTTGTATTGTTAAGGCAGAAATAAACACTGTATAGAAAGAAATAATTTTTTACATTTATCTGACGGCAACTTTATAGTCCAACATTTTATGAAGATTCAATAATCTGTTAATATATTGAGGTTGTAAATTGTAAAAATTAGACATACAATAATACTATTTTGAACCTAGATTCAATGGTATGCCCTGTCCTCTGGCAAATAGCAACTCCTAAGCAATGGAACTTAGAAGCAGTAGAAGCAACTCTGCGACATCCATCGAACAAAGATGAGCAATTTAAGAAAAAAATTGTGAGGAAAGGCTCTTTAATTATGTTGACAACGATAACGGCAAATATACTTAGTGATTCTGAAGCATTTGAAGCTGCGGTCATATCATTCCTTACAAAAATGATAGAAGACTGTGATATCAATACAGAAATACCTTGCCGAGTTGACGTTACGCTTCATATTTTAAATGCTACTGAAGGTTTGTGAATCTTAATGCATTTTATATATAAAGACACAAAAATAAACCAATATAAGCTTGTGTAGTATTTCGATATATATAAAATTATTGTTTTGTCATAAAACCGGCCGTTGGTGTATTATTTGAATTGGTTCATATTTTGTCATGTCGAGGCGGTCTATAGATGAACTATTTTATAGTGTTGTTCATCGCTGAAAGCCTTGCGGGGATCTATAGTTGCTTACCTGCACGTCATTTTGACTCTGTTGAATAGTGGTAATACTGACAATCATACCGCTGTTGGATATTTTTATATACTAGTAACTGTATTTGGTATAAATAATGGATTTAATGCCATGACAGAGAAATGTAAATTTTGATAGCTTAGAAAAAAAGTATTTTTACAAGGTAAATTTCATTTTAATTGTGATTTATCTGCGAGAGTTAAGATTGCCTAAAACTGCTTCAATACGTTTTTCAGTATCATTGAGCTGTGAACTTCCGCCTCTAGCACAACATAAACAGGTTTCAGGTATGTACGTTGAAATAAACATACCATATACGTTACGTTTTCAAATAACATTGAAAGTCATATTAATGTCATATAAGTTTTTACTCAGTTGTGAAAACCAGGTTAACAACATATTGTATATTTATCAATCCCTGTCACATTAAGACATCCTCACAGAAGCCGTTAAACGTACAAAAAGTATAATAAAGATAAAAACAAAGATGGATTATTACATCGTTAATCGACTTTATCAGATATCAGGGCAACAGAATACTCAGAGTTCGATTAGGTGTTGGGAGATTGATAGTTGGGCAACATTTTTGTTTTCGGATGTTATAGGTTTAATCATATGGCCAAAGATTTATCAACCTTACTCTATACGGTAAGGGAAATCGTAATTGATTTGGGATTAATATTTGAAAGGTCATGTGGACAGCTGCTATTTAAAAACTGAGTTTAAGCTAAAGGGTAGGATTTTGAATGATATTCCTTTTAAGTCTTAACGTTTCCACGTACATACACATCCCTATATTTTAAATGTTTAGGTTTGAGAGTTCTGGATGAAGGATAATCTAAACTAGCGCTTCGTACGCACGACATTTTTAAAGTGCTTTTATCATTTTTTAACGATATATCCAATTAATTGCAAGACATTTTGGGTAAGACGATTTGCAAAGAACAAGATCCCTATACTACAAACTGCTCAGAGTCTGAAAAGACCAGTAAGGTCGAGCCCAGATTTTACTTGATAAGACTCGACATTATCTCAACAGTAATTAACTGTACTTAGCTGTACTCGACTTTGGTCTCGAGTTTGGTCTCGACTTTACTTATTAAGTCTAATTCAGTATTTGATAATCTTGGTGTAGTCTGAAATGGTCTAGACAAAGGCTCGACCAATCTCGACCTGTCTCGACCAGTCTTGACCTTCAAATTTAGTCTTGACTGGTCTGAATCAGCCCATCTAACTTAATTATATATTGAATTTACAAAATTCCAGGTTACTTGGTAGTTTGGTTCATTGCTGTCAAATTAAAGGATTTAATTATTAGGTAAAAAAAGCAAGAATTTTCAGTTTTGATTAAACTCAGATAGTCATCTTTAATTAATTCTATAACTTTTACAAATCAACTTGGATTTTCATTAAACTCTATAGCTATCTCAATTATACATTGATCTTACAGAATGCCATATTGTTTGGTAGTTTAGTTTATTGCTGTCAAATATAAGGATTTAATTAATGAGTACAAAAACTAGAATTTTCAGTTCGAACTGAATTAAGATAGTCACCTTTAATTTGTTTATTACTTTTTCAAATTAACTTAGATTTTCATAAAACTATACAGCTATCTCAGATATACATTGATCCTACTGAATCCCAGGTTGTTATATAGTTTGGTGTATTGCTGTCAAATTTAAGTATTGGATTATTCTAGGTACAAACCGCGAGAATTTTCAGTTCGGACTCAATTCAGATAATCATCTTTAAATTTTTTTAGAACTTTTTCAAATCAACTTGAATTTTCATCAAACTATACAGCTATCTCAGTTATATATTGGTCTTAGAGAATGCCAGGTTGTTTGGTTATTGATGTCAAATTTAAGGATTTAATTGATAGGTAATTTTAAATAAACTAGTTTTCAGTTCGGACTGAATTCTGATAGTCACCTTAACATTTGTTTATTTCTTTTTCAAATCAGCTTGGATTTTCATCAAACTTTTCAGCTATCTTTATTATATGTTTATCTTACAGAATACCAGGTTGTTTTGTATTTTTGTGTATAGCTGTAAAATTTAAGGACTTAGTTAATAAGTATAAAAAAGCTAAAATGTTCAGTTTGGAATAAATTCAGATAGATACCTATAATTTTAATATTTAAATTTGACTGCAATAAACCAAATTACCAAATAATCTGATATTTTGTAAGATAAATATATAATGGAGATAGCTGTAGATTTTGATGAAAATCCAAGTTGCTTTGAAATAGCTATAAAAATTTAAAGATGACTATCTGAATTTAGTCCAAACTGAAAATTTTAGCTTTTTTACCTTGATTATTTAAATCCTTAAATTTTACAGCAATATGTCAAACAACATAACAACCTGGGATTCAGTTAGATCAATATACAACTGAGATAGCTGTATAGTTTTAAGAAAATCTAAGTTAATTTGAAAAAGAAATAAACAAATTTAAAGGTGACTAACAGAATTCAGTCCGAACTGAACATTCTAGCTTATTTAAAATTACCTATCAATTAAATCCTTAAATTTTACAGGAATGAACCAAAGTACCAAACAACCTGGCGTTCTGTAAGATCAATGTATAATTGAGATAGCTGTATAGTTTGATGAAAATCTAAGTTGATTTGAAAAAGTTTAAAAAATTATAAACATGACTATTTAAATTTAGTCCGAACAGAAATTCTAGCTTTTTTTATCTATTTATTAAACCCTTTAATTTGACAGCAATGAACCAAACTACCAAATAACCTTGAATTTTGTAAGATCAATATATAATTGAGTTAGATGGGCTGATTCAGACCAGTCAAGACTAAATTTGAAGGTCAAGACTGGTCGAGACAAGTTGAGACATGTTGAGACTGGTCGAGACTTTGTCGAGACCATTTCAGACTACACCAAGAATACCAAATACTGAATCAGACTTATTAAGTACAGTCGAGACCAAAGTCGAGTACATTTAAGTACAGTTAAGTACTGTCGAGATAGTGTCGAGTCTTATCAAGTAAAATCTGTGCTCGACCTTTCATGGTCGAGCACAAAATATGGTCTTTTCAGAGTTTGAACAGTTTGTAGTGCTAACAGTATCAGGAACAGTTTGTCTAATGTTAAGGTCAGATAAAGATAGAAAGACTTTTAAGCAACGCATTTGTGTATAAATGTTTATTTCAAACCGTATGAATAACATGTACCAACTTTCATTTCAACAATGCCACAATAAAATACACTGCTTTATGATTTTGTGGTCGCTTTGTCCAAAATAATGGTAAAAACAATAATCGCTAGGTTGAAATTGAAGTCAACACCTTTTTGTGTTACATCTGGGGACATATGTCCAAAACTTTACAAAAACAGCGGGAACATGAAACTCTTATTGACTTTATTGTCGCTATACCACATGCCAATGGAAATTAAGTACAATAAAAAGACCATAACTAATCTAAAAATTTTACTGAATTATGGTTTTAATACAAAGACTTGGTTTTGAATTTTTTAGAAAGTGTAATTTTCAAGACTACTCATTTGAGTTTTTAAAATCTTAAATATGAATATTCTTAATAGCCTATTTTTATTGTTGTTGAATTTTGATTTCATTTTTAGTGGAAATATTAAGAGCAATACAGAACTTAACACTGTTAGTGAAGTATGAAAGACCTGCTAACTTACTTGTACCTGAGGAAACATGTGCAGGTAGAATTTCTTTCTTACATCTAGTACTTTGTAACGTCTCCTACAATGATTCGCATGTAGTGTATTTTTAAAGGGAAATAATGTTAAAATAAGTTTAATAGATTTAACTAATAGCAATGTTACATAACTAAATCTTATAAAGAAATTGTCATCTGATAATATAACTTTGGTTGTTAATTGTTACAAAAGAGATAAAATATTACTGTGTTAACTTAGATGCAATGGAATGTCCTGTTCTTTGGCAAATAGCAACTCCTAAGCACTGGAATCTCGTAACAGTAGAAGCAACTCTTCGAATTCCATCAGAAAAAGATGAACAATTTAAGAAGAAATTTGTACGGAAAGGCTCCTTGAATATGTTGACAACAATAGCAGCAAATGTACTTAGTGATTCTAAAGCATTTGAAGCTGCGGTCATATCCTTCCTTACGAAAATGATAGAAGACTGTGATATCAATACAGAAATACCTTGCGTTGTTGATGTCAGGCTTCATATTTTGAATGCTAATGAAGGTTTGTGAATCATAATCACTTAATATGTACTCCACCATTATGAGTATCTTACTTAGCCCTTTAACAAATTTATATTGTATGCTATAAAGATCCAAATAAACGTCTGTATTGTCTACGTATGTACATATAACATTGGACGTATCACAATAACCGTGAGACTATAGTATTTTTTAGTTTTGATATGCTAGAAAACAAAAAGTGCATGTCAAAATATTGATATTGCCTAACATTCAGTGGGAAATTTTTCAAACATGTTCAGGACAAGAACAAATCAACGTTACCTACAACAGAAATATTCTGCAAGGTAAGGGTCGACCGGAATGAGGGCGGAAAGTTTGAACTGCCGCTTGAAATTAATGGTGTGTTGGATATTGCTTGATATTTTGTCTTGCAGCCTGTAACCTGCGGACCTATGGGTTATTTTACGTATAAACATCTTAGCATTTTTCCTAAACGTGGCATTAAGTTTTACATCCCTATTTCGACCGGAAATGGTTTCGTATTTAGACACCCTACACTGCAAAATGGAAGTCCCACTTTAGCAAGGAGGTAGCTGCCGAAATATGAGAAGACCAGAAATATTATTTTTATGTCCAAAATTAGGCTTAACCATTTTAGTTTTCAATGGTAACAATTTTTTTAAATTCATATTGTGAAACACTAGTCGAGCATGGATTCAATATTTTTTATTTCATTTTCTGTTATCTGCTGTTTATGCATACTTTGAACAGTAAAATTAGAATAAAGTCACTCAACCATGTTGAAGGAAAACACACATCTTCTTTCCTTCATAAGGGACAATAAAGGAAACAGTAGTATACCGCTGTTAAAAAGTCCTAAATCGATTGAGAGAAAACAAATCCGGGTTACAAACTAAAACCGAGGGGAACACATCAACTATAAAAGGAAAACAACGGAACAACAGCAACACTGAAGTGCAACAAAAACAAACGCCAACATACATAGAAACGGACTATTTGATAACAACTGCTATATTCCTGACTTGGTACAGGACATTTTAAGAAAACAAATGTGGGTTGAACCTGGTTTTATGGCTTGCCAAACCTCCCGCTTATATGGCAATGTTAAAAAATATTGCTAAAGTGACAACACTGCGTGACAGGAGTACAGTACAAACAAACGCAAGACCACTCAGCACAGAGACACAAATCATGAATGATTCAATTTTATTTTGTACTATCTACATTTTCTCATTTAGTATTCTTAAGAATGAAATAAAATTGATATATGATTTAGATATAAATTACAATTAAACGGTACAAAATATGTTTAGCAGCGTTTGAACAGCGGTATACTACTGTTGCCTTTATTTAGCAATCTGTGCCTGCTTTGCAGCTTGATGTCGTGTCAGGCAAAATGCAAAGAATCAATTTCTTCGACTTTTTATTCATCATGTTCATGCAAAGAGTCTTCTACATTAGTGAAGCTGTTTTTTCTTTTGTGTGTTAAAAACACACCAAACAGACAAACAAAATAGAACGCGCAAAACAGAACAAGCATACAAAATCAAAACCCGGTAAAACAACAATAAAAACAAAAATCGAAAAAACGACAATAATGGAGACAATGACGAATAATCAAACTACAGAAATGGCTTACAAACAACAAGCAGTAAACACTTAATTCTATTCAAATCTTTAAAGTTAAATGTTATTTTTTTTTAGATATATCAAAATTAAGGAAAAACAAATATAACCAGACTTTGGTTTATGATGGATACCGTATGTCCTTTCAGCCGGGCAGCAGTTCTCATAATGGCGTCGAAAATGCGACAAAGCTCACGTGCTTTTCCATTAAAAAAATGGCAATTTTTAGAAACGGCATTGACGTCACGAAAAAAGCTGCGTAAAGAAATTTAACCTGTTTCCCATTCTAAACCAAGTATACCTTTTGATGCGACAGGTTCCAAACTTTCACTACGTTATTATTAAAAGGCTGAAAATACAATATTTCATTGCAAATTTGGTGGTGAAAGATGAAAATACGGGCCGCGGAAGTGACACTTGAAAATAAATAAATGTAAATTGAAATGACACACGAAATAGTAACGTCTATTCCTATAGATGAGATAATAACTATTGATATTTTGTTGAAGAAAAGCCCACTGATAGAAAAACTCGACAGGTAAACCGGCCCAGTGACGATTCAACAAGTCGAAAAATAGGACGTTTAAAGGGGAATAACTCGACCCCAAAACAACAACAACAATACGACGGTGATCATAAATTGGACTGAACAAATGTTTTCCCCTTTTTATTGATTTGTAAGCAGTGTGACTGGGCACAAATTTGAAAGTTTAATAAAAATGTGAGTTTCAGTTTATGAAAATATCATTGAAAAAGCGGTCATTTGTTAAATATCGTGTCTGCCTGACATGTATCTATCTATCTTCCCGTCATGGAGTGGACTCATTTTTGAGTGTATATACTCCAGCGTGAGTGAACAGCTGAAAACCTTCAAGTGTGTACAGTTAAAATGAGATCTGTACAATGTATGTACAGTTAAAATCAGTGCTGTAATTTAGTAGTGTCCCGTCAGGATATAAACAGTGATGCCCCTCCTGTTATTTATTTTAAGTAAATGGTGGTCTCTAGAAGCTGACTGTTTGAATTTAACACGTCCACCGGTTTTATTGGTGGATACACTCCTGATATTTGTAAGAATGGACCAAAAAATATTCCATGGTTTCATTTCAGTTACTCTTCTCATAAAAAATGTCATCCTTACTTTCTTAAGAATAGTTCATAGTAACTGTTGTGATTCTTAATTGAATTAATCAGAGACATATTAAACCACATATCTCAGGTTAAATAATTGTTTCTGAATAAATGTCAATGAAAGAAACATTGTTTTAATATTTATTTTAACTAAAATTGAAACCACAGAAATATATGTTTGTCCATAGTGTTCTAACAATATCCAGAGGCCCTCTAGCAATCCAGTTCAAAGGACAGTTTAACTAAAAATAATATAAAAAAATATATATTAATGATCTTCATCTTCCTTTAAAAAAAATCCAGATGAAATAAATTAAAGTTGATAGATTATATCTGGCATACAGAATAATCTACAAAGTGCATTTTATAAATTTTATGTTCAATTTTTCAATAAAAAATAATTCGTTCCTTTGAACTGAATCATGAGCAGAACTCGTGTTCATTGCCCCTTTATTAATAATTCAAAAACCCTTCTTCGATTATCAAAAGGGAAAAAAATACATTTGAAAAATGCAATTTTGTTTTTAATTATTGGTTTTACAGCTGATTTAAAACTTTTAACCAAATCAAAAAATGGAAAACAATATATTTCAATAGTTAAACCTATACTAAAATTCATTTGTTATTTGCAAATTAATCTAAATGAATTTTTAAAGTACTTATAGGAATACATTTAGCCAAAGCCAAAATAATATGAATAGTAAATCTATATATTTTTGCATGCAAACTTTTATCCAAATTATATATCATTTATTTCTGAACCTTTTAACTGAAATTAGTAATTTTAGATCACTAAGTCTTCTATTTTATAGTTTGAAACAAGACAAATAATTTACATTTTTTTATTTTACATTTATTCCTAAAATGGAAAAAAAAACTACTATTCACATGTTTAATTTATTTAAGTTTTTAAAAAAATATTATGAAAACATTATTTTGAAACCAAATAAATTCATTAAAAGGATAAGCTTGGAATAAAAAATACATTTTTATTATTTAAAAAATTTGTCAACAAATATGTTATAAATCTTATGATGAAGATTTATCCCATTTTTCAATAAAACATGATTGTTGTGTTTAGCAGTACACAGAGTTCTACTTCTGGCTTAAACATTTAAAACATAACAACCAGCAAAGCCAGAAAGGGGTATTTACAAACTATTTATAAACAAAACAACTTATAAACAATGTAAACATACTTACATTCAACCTGACAGTAATTAACACTTAACATTAACCCACCAATTATTGAAATTAGGTAAACCTTATGTTAAGAAATTATTTTAAAGAGAAGTCCGGGCCATTTATAAAAAAGGTTACCTTTTATAGTTAGCCAGTTCCTTGAAAAAGTTGGTCTTGCTATTTTGGTTCTTTTCTAATAGGATTTTATAAGTTATTTTAACTGATTGCATGATTGTGTCTTTTTATAACTAGACTTTTCAATCTTTTTCAAAAGAGATAAATTAAAAGTAAACTTTGCAATTTCACTAAATTTTTAAAAGAAAGCATTATAACGAACTATAAAGCTTCAAAAATTAAAAACAAAAAGAAATATTAGTATCACCTCCACCTACTATTAAATCAGCATAATATATAGAACCTCTAAAGGAGGGAAACTTACAAATGCTTGGTAATTTGAAATTTCATAATTGTTAGTTTTATAATTGACTATGAAATGCTATGTGACCAGTCTTATGCAACTATAAAACAAAAGATAATGTTGTAAACTAATAAGTAAAAATATAAATACAGGAAATAAAACCATAATAATAATCATATTAAATAAATTAAACTATAAATAAGTAATAATAAAAATAAAAAAAAACAGAAGTGAATTAATTAGTAAATAACCAGCAAGTATTACGTGATGACCTTCATAGCATTCAATTATCTCGTCCATGGAACTTAGCATTGCAAATAGGCGAGCCATTTTACCACAGAACTTAACATATATTCAACATGGAATCTGATATCAATATGACAAAATGCAACCTAGGACATGGAGAACATAGTGACCTGCATTTAAATGGAGTTGTGACCTATGACCTTAAAAAGGTTCAGACCTTGCAACCTACATGTAATGGTGTAAATTTACTAGAGCCCCATCCCCATTATGTCAATTATGTAAAAAAGTAACATCTGTGACCAATATTTATAAAACTGTTTTAGAACCCATTTTTTTATCATTTTCGTGAAGGAGAAATTATCACAAAAAAATTCCAGTTCATGTGATATTCATTTTACAGTACATTGTGTACATTCATATTTCTTGGCCAAAAAAAAAAACATAAACTGTTGGGTCTTCTCTTTTAAAAATACTGATCAAATAAATATGTACATCTACACGTGAGTCATTTATTTGACATATTATACTTGATGGTGACCTTTTGAATATATATATGTTAAAAGCAATAAATTCAATGAATATTAAAAACTGTTTGTTCTCCTTTTGTCTTTCTTAACTGCAAACTTAATCATTATGAGAACAACCAGAGTTGAATTGATGTTACTTCCTTCTAGATTATAATAACATTATGTGGAAATGATATAGTTTATGATATTGAACAGTCTAAGTCAGTCAGTGACCAATATCTAATGCCATATATGGGTATGTGTGGTAGGACCTAAGACGAGATCAATTGTTGCTTTACACAGTTTTCATTATAATTTATAGCTACAATAAGTATAATATACAAATAAATGCCCTCATGGAACATCAGTTTACTTCATGCATGTTTTCAACTTAACTCATCTGTCTCAGTAGCAGTTAATGAACAATAGTCTTACCAAAAAGTATGACTTTAGAAATTTATAAAACCAATGGCTGAAATCACACAAACGTCAGTGTCCAACCCTATGGACAACGTATCATGATGCCATTTTGGTTAAATATTATCAAATTTATCTAAAGAGTAAAAGTAAAAGTTTGAAATAAAAATAGATTAAATCCCTGTTATACTTTCAAACAGTATTTAGAACCTGCTGTATACACTTTTATTACTAATTGGTTTAACTAATATTCAACTGCATACCAATAATAAATTTGTAATGTTGAATAAACATGGAAGCATTTTATATATATATATATATAATTATTAAAAATCTTAGTTCTATCTGAAGGGTGTGTGAGGGGGACTAAGTATTTAATAAACTGTTTGACACAGAGATACATGTATGTCTTAAATTTGTGAAATTGTATAATGCACTCAACCATATTAGCTATGCAAAACTTCCCAAATCAATGAACCATGACTAAAGATATAAGACCACAATATCTTCCATGGAAATGACATATGCTGCATACCAAATAGCATAGACTTCTCCTTATACAGACCTTATCATAAACTTAAAAGGAAAAAATGCTTATACAACTACATACCAAATATATAAACAAGTGACAATAACTGGTTCCATTAAAACTGACATATACCTGTATGGTACCTATATATTTGCCTACATTAACAAGGTCTTGGATGGAGAGTTGTATCACTAGTAATCATATCTTATTTCGATACTAATGACAAAAAACTTAACCATGAATAAGAGGCCCAAAATAATCACTCTTGGAAATGAGATTTACAAATGACTATACAACTGCATACCAAATATCTTAAATTTAACATAAATAGTTCCCTTTAAACTGATCAAACGATAAACCAATTTCAAATAGATTTAGTAAGTTCACTGAACATTGCAAATGTGGTTAAAAAAATGATGCACATCATCAGATACAATGGGATAAACTTTGTAGCAACATTCACAGTAAATGAATGAATAAATCAATACATACATGTATAAAATTGCTTTCCAACCCCAAAGACTTTTGTCTGCAAGTTGTTTTATATCTACATTGATCTATATCATTCTTATATTTTTAAGATGGTGATACTTTCAGCACACTAAAACATATGTATATAAGACTCGTGTCTTATTCATTAGGTTATCAATTTGTGTTTTTTTCCCCCGTTTTTTTAATAATAATGCAACAATGTTAAAACCCCCAGCATTTTATATGCACCTGTCTTTGGTTTGAATTGATTTACACTGGTCATTTTGGGACCCTTTATAGCTTGCTGTTCGGTGTGAGCCAGGGCTCTATGTTGAGGGCCGTACTTTGATCTATAATGGCTAACTTTAAATACATTATGACTTGGATGGGGAGTTGTCTCATTTGCACTCAAACCACATCTCCATATTTATATTTAGCAATGAGCAAAATGCAGAAAAAGTATAACAGAATCATCATATTGTATTGACCTTAACACCTGAGGAACTAGATATCATTGAGATGGGAGCCATCTCTGTGGGCCCCGCTGTGAATAATGTGTGGTAAACAATTTGTATCTTTATCATTGAACATGGGGTTGTCAACTGAAACCGAAGTTTATGACCTTGACCTTTGACCTAGGAAGTTGTACATAAATTATGACACACCCTCTGGTGTTGGTTTTTATACATGTCAAGTATAAACTTTGAAATCATAACGGTTCTCAAGATATAGAGCGAACACGATCTTTACCATAGAACATGGGGTTGTCAACTTAAACCAAAGTTTTTGACCTTGAACTTTGACCTAGGAAGTTGTACATACATTATGACACACCCTCTGGTGTTGGTTTATATACATGTGAAGTATAAACTTTGAAATCATAACGGTTTTCAAGATATAGAGTGGACACAATCTTTACCATAGGACATGGGGTTGTCAATGTCAACTCAAAACCAAAGTTTTTGAC